ATATCAAAACATTGTGTTCAAGTATTATCAGGTTTACCGGTCTCAATAAAAAACTATAAATATGAAATATAACCAAATAAAATCAACTATTGATTAAAAATTAGAATTTGAACACTAAATGCATAAAATTGCATCTCGTATCTTTATGAATTACATGTATTTGTTTAGATTTGCTTATTTGATGTTAAATCTATTGTAATATCCTGAGATGTAAAACTAGCACAATTACATACAATTTAAAGATGTGTGTAAATTTACTATATGTACATGTTATACAGGCAGTGACATGTTTGTAAAAAAAAAAAATCATGAAGTTTGTTTTACTGCTGGCAATTGAATACAGTAAAACAATATATCTTCTACGAATTATAATATTCATGTTGAATTAAAACTTTACAACAGGGCTTTCACACAGCTGTTTTGACATTATACATGTATTAAAAACAACCTTCTTGGGGACCTAAAATTCTACATGTTATTATGCACGCCTCTCTAGGAACACAAAGATATATGTATATATATATTATGTCCTTGAGGTAGATAGATATATACATATCTCTACTATACACTGAAAATTAATACCATGGTCACAAATCAATATTATATTCCATAGGAATTGCCATAGTCAGGTAGTATCGGGTTTTTAGTCCCTTTTAAGTCCTTAAAGGGAAAGTGTCTCCTATTTCTGTACACAGTACCATAGTATGGCTTCACTAATTCAGCCACGTCTTCCCTAATGAAGACCCCCTTACATCTACCCCGCCGCAAATCCTCTAAGTATCCTGTGTATCCTAACTGTCGCATGGGAGAGTGCACGCTCCCCCAGTAATGACGCTCTGTGATCCGCCTCAGGCAGACAAACTCGGGATTGTTTCTACTGATGAGGGAGATCGTATCGATGTCGGCCTCATTTGACTTCTCGTCAAAGTCTCTGTCGGAAAAATCGATCTCCATAAAATCTGTCTCATCTGAACAAGAAAAAATGCATGGTTTAGTATATGGACAAAATTTACCTTATTATTCACAAGAATCTAAAATATATACAAGAGTACCAAAACACATTCATTTTCCCTGTTTGCCTATAATGAGGTCAGCTGTAGTTCAAAGAGTAAATAAGACAGATCTAGAGTTGCTAACAGGTGCATTAGAACAATGCTCCATTCTCCCTTTTATAACTAAACAGATAAAACATCAGCAGTCATACATGTAGAAAGCAGCGGTAGTAAAAGAGAGATGCATGTTATACAGATGTGTAAAGTGACACTTATAAATCTTTACTCTTATGTCTTTCTCTCAGAAGCTTTCTGTTTGTTACCAGAAGCTTAACATCATATGTTATGCTTTTTCGAGCTTTTTGTTTCAAGCTTCAATTGTTTCAACACACATTTATGTCTATATGTCTATATGCCTCTGCACTTTGGCACAAATATTTATAGCATCACACTGGAAGCATCATAAATAATTCACAGCGAAATATTTCCAAAGGTTGTTTTGGAAGAAGCAATCATTCTCTGGGCCAATGCTTTGTTTCAAATCCTCGTTATAATCTAGCTTTATAAATGTAGCCTATTCGATGGCTTACCAACATAATAGCTGTTTAATTTGACTTTTGAAACATTTGACAGATTTATTATGGCAAATGATGCCACATTAGAGGCCCTTCAGATACCAGATGTGTAGTCAATACATTTACTGTTGCAGTGATAAATTCCTTTGTATCAAAAAAAAAAAAACGTAGAGCTATCTTTTATCATTGGAGATAGACAAAAGATGGAATTTAGTTAACAGTTTCATTATAAGAATATCTAGGTCAAGTGCTGCTTTGCGTACGATCAAGCCATTCTGGACAGAGTGATGACCCTTGGTTTCAGAAAATTCCACTTTTTTAAAATTTACGTTCATTTTCTTTGCAAAGTTTGCATACATTGAAAGAAAATTTATCAAATAGTATTATCATAAAAATATATAGGTAGTTTCTTTTTGGGTACAATCGGGCCATTTTAGATTGAGCTATGTTCCGTGGAATTAATTAGAAAAAAATCCAATTATTCGGGGAAGGTGGTATGCAAAAGTGTTTGACAAATATTTCTTATTTGTATATTTGTTTTTAATCTATTTTCTTCTCTTTGGGGGCATCACATTTTTTTTTGAAGTTTTATAATTTTATACATTAATGATATGTAAATCCCACGAACATTTTCTATGCATGAAGCTTGCTAGCACTTTCTGCTAATTTGTTCCTTCAGTATATAACTTGTATGAAACAAAACAAGTCAATAATGTATATTTTCAGGTTCAAGAGCGACAAGAATACAATCAAGTTCTGAATCTTTGTATGACTGTTTAAAAGCGTCTGTGAAGTCTTAGTGTAACCATCTCCAGGTATATTTTGACCTGTTAGTACTAAAAAGAAATTTCTATCAAAACAATCACAAATCTTGTTTATTAAAAAGCAAGATGAGAAACACTAATGAAATCAATGACAGTTCACGGCCATGGCTGAAGTACATGTATTTCAACTGAACGTCAAAATCAAGATTTCAAAAAATATTGAAACCGAGTCAAAGTTTTGTCACAAGCAATATAAATGTAAAATATGATAAATATACCTATTCTCTATTAAACATAGTTAACATTAATATTTCTTATCTTTTAAAAAGGTCACACTCCAAGGTCAATGTCATGAAGTATTTTTTTAAAGGATAAGATACAAGGAAGGTAAAAGTGAAAAATGATAATCCCAACAGCAGAAATTTAAAGGTGAATAGACAAGTTCAAAGATGTTTTCCACATGTAGATCAGACTAACAGGTCATGAGGTCTAAATGGTATTAAAGAAAGAGCTTTTCACCAGGTTTACATCTGTTTTATATGACAGTACTGACATCCGCCGTTTAAAAGGTATTAATAAAATTTAACCATTTCAAAACTACCTCAAATTCTTATGGTCGAAATGAACAAAAAAAATTTTTTAAAAAGCCGAGGAAAGGACTCTACAAATGGAATATACATATGAAAAAAATAAAAGCCCGAATCACGACTTTTCAAAAGTTATACGCAAGGTTTTAGTTTGAATTTTTTTTTTGCAAAAGGTCAAATGTCAAGGTCAAATATACCTGTGCCCAAAGAAAGGCCTTGCTAATGGGAATAAACAAGCAGAAGAAGGTAGCCTGGTCTACTGTCTCATCCTTGCTTAGTACTAGTGAAGCAGAGTTTACGAGGGACAGGAAAACAGGCTAAGTGTGAAAGAAGACTTCATCTTCCATGCAAGAGTTATGGAAAAGGTTTATGTTTTTGTAGACAGACACCGAATCCTCGATCATGGCAACATTCAGCAATATATTAGAGGCCGACATTTATTATTAAATGCGAATCCCTTGAGAACCATTTTTTTTAACTTTTTGGTTTTGCATACACCTGGAACTCGGTGATTTTTTATACGAAAGTATTTAGACAAGTTAACCGAATGTAAAAAGAAATTGACTTAAATGAAACAGGTTGCACCATATATAAGATCTTTTAATAAACAAATACCATGCACAGCATCTGTGCCCCTAGCATCTGATTACGTCACAATTCTTACCGGCCATAAATTAAACAGATAAACATAAAATAACAGGGGGTAATGCAGGACAAATTTTCCAAAGCACATATCTTCAACAGATTGCCCACTAAATTTATTACTCCTGACATCTACATAATCTTAGGGTCAAACTCTTGAAAGTATAATAATAACCAATGAAGTCGAAGCCGTTTTCTCAAATTGATAACACCTTTGTGAAGTGATGGATTTACATAAGTAAAATATTGTTATACGTGTATATTGAAAATTCATTTTGTCTTTGAAAATCATATTCTTTTTCATGAGCATGTAGTAGATGACAACAGTGAATTCTATGCCCTTAGTCAAATATTTTGGAATATAGGCTTTATATATAGCTATGATTATTTTTATTTTACAAAGGGTCATAAAGCTGAAAGAAATGGCAGATTACACTGCCCATATAAAAATACTTCATTCGCCTACTTGGTCAAACATTTTATATCCAAAATTGTGACTTTTACGGTCAGGTATAAAAACAATTAACATAATTAAGTTTCTTCTTTTCTAGAGCATATACTGGGTAAATGAGTAAATTAATTTACGAAAGTGAAATGTCACGAAAATCAGATGTAGCCCTGAGCTCTTTATAATTCTTCTATTACAAAATCTTTAAAAGTTCATTCTGACAAAATTAACTGCAAACTGGCAGAAAATTGTTTTCCTCATCAAGCGCTGTGAAACTATGAATTTTCATTTAAATAGACAGGCCTTATCTAAACGCTTTATGTATTATTAATTAACTCTGAGAAAAATGTTGATAACTATGCTTTTTTTAAACTTTAACTTTACTTCTTTACAATAAGACACATGTCTTATTGACGAAGTTCCAAGTATATCGGTACATCCTCGCCAATTAAAAAAAATACGCATATTTAAGCAAATGTATTGAGGGAATAAAAAAGATTTTTAATCAAAAACTGTCTTTGGTTTTTAATGTTCGAAATTGCAGTTGTGTCAGGAAAATAATTAGTTCAAACAGGTAACAAAGATATTTTCTTGTTTTTATAATGAAAAAGGTGAAGAAAACGAACAATGAAAATTTACTATACAATTCTACGAACGGGACATAAATACCCGGAAATTACAGACGTAGGATCAGGTGTCAGGAGAAGGAAACATCCCCTGTTGACCGGTTACACACGAACCCTATGTATTGATCAGCTCGAAGGACCATTCTGTAGCCAAGTCTTTAAAAACATCGGCTAATAAAGTAGCACAATTAGACATTACTGTTTTCAAAGGGACTCAAAGTTCATTGTGCATTTGTCTACAAAATTTTCAAAATGAATGGAAACATATTTTTTTCTGCCCTAATACATTGCTCCGAAATCATAATTCACCTCCTTGTGATAAATATAACGTTTTCCTTAAAAATATTTCTCAATTAAAACTTAATATTCACATTCAATGTATTTTATTCAATTGTTTATACATATGACGGAGAATATCTCCGACGCATAACACTAATTTACTAAGCAAGCTGCTATAAAATTTAATTTTATAATCAATATAAAAACACGGTATACTATGTAGTATTATCAGGTTTACCGGGTTCAATAAAAAACTTTTAATATAAAATATAATGAATTAAAATTTGAACAATAATTGCAAAAAATACATGTCATCTTTATGAATTATTTGTTAAGATCCTGCTTATTCAGTGTTAAGTATCTTGTAACTTGGGATTAAATCTTGCAAAATTATATATTAAAAGATTGGCATAAATTAACTACATGTACATTTTATACAGACAGTGACATGTTTGTAAAGATATTCATATGATTTTAACAATGCTACTGGCGTTGAATACAGTAAAACAATTTTTTTTGTTCCACGCATAAAAACCTTGTTTGAATCGATACTCTATGCAGTGTCGTAACATAAGTTAAATACAACTTTTCGTTAAGTCTAAACATTATTCGAATTCATTATGGAAATTTTTTAATACAATTTTGAAACAAAAGTTGATCGTTCATTTTTTTTTTCAGAATCAATTTTCATGTTGAATTAAAACTCTCAAGTACAATGTAGGACTTTTCCACAGCTGTTTTGACATTATACAGGAATCAAAGACCTTCTTGGGTCAATAACATTCTACATATTATTATGCTGACCTCTCTAGGAACACATAAATATATATTATGTCCTTGAGGTAGATAGATATTTACATATCTCTAATACACTGAAAATTAATACCATGGTTACAAATCAATATCATATTCCATAGGAATTAACATAGTCAGGTCGTATCGGGTTTAGTCCCTTGTAAGTCCTTAAACGGAAAATGCCTCCTATTCCTGTACACAGTGCCATAGTATGGCTTCACTAATTCCGCCACGTCATCCCTAATGAAGACCCCCTTACATCGACCCCGCCGCAGGTCTTCCAGGTAACCTGTGTATCCTAGCTGTCGCATGAGAGAGTGCACGCTCCCCCAGTAATGGCGCTCTGTGATCCGCCTCAGGCAGACAAACTCCGGGTTGTTTCTACTGATGAGGGAGATCGTATCGATGTCGGCTTCATTTGACTTCTCGTCAAAGTCTCTGTCGGAAAAATCGATCTCCATAAAATCTGTCTCATCTGAACAAGAAAAAAATCATGGTTATTTTTGTATAAATATCCAAATGTATTTGGACATAAATTGCTTAATTATTCAGTATAGGCAAACAAATATATGAGTACCAAAACACATATTTGTTCATATTTCTTATATGTTACTAATGTGACAAGCTGTAGCTGTAAGACATCCAGAGTTGCTAACAGGTGCATTAGAACAATGCTTCATTCTCCCTTTTAAAACTGACCAGATAAAACTGATATGTGCTTCAACTGATGAAAGCAGTCATACAAGTAGAAAGCACTGGTAGTAAAAGAGAGGTGCATGTTATGCAGATGTGTAAATTGACACTTAAATCTTCTCTTATGTCTTTATATCAGAGGCTTTCTGTTTGTTTTCAGAAGCTTAACATCATGTGTTTATGCTTTTTCGAGCTTTTTGTTTCAATTGCCTACTAAAATGATACACATTTATGTGTCTACATGCTTCTGCTCTTTGGCACGAATATTTTAAGTATCGCTCTGAAAGCATCATAAATAATTTACAGAAAAATATTCCTAAGTGTTGCTTTTTTGTTGGAAACACGTTTCATTGGACCAATATTTTTTTGCAAATCTTTGGTATAATCTAGCTGAACAAATCTAACCTATCTGATGGCTTACCAAAGGTATACGTCTGTTTAATTTGACTTTTGAAAAAAAAAATTACAGATTTATTATTGCAGATGATGACGTATTAGAGGCAATTCAAATTCCAGATGTGAAGTTAATGCGTTTACCGTTGCAGTGATAAATTCCCTTGTATAATAATAAACTTAGATGTATCTTTTATCATTGGAGAAAGAAAAAAATATGTCTGCCTAAGATATCGAAATATTTTTCTTTTTAAAGAATTGGAATCAATATAAAAATATTTTCCTTGTTTATTTACCGGGTTGAACAAAATTTCGCTACATATGTCTCTTTTCCAAATCTAAAAAATACTCCAAAAAGTACGTGTTACAGTTGAATAAATACAAACAACAGTGACAATTTTAAATATTGCCTTATAACACAATAGAGTGTTCATCATATGCAAGAAATTTTATGTTCTTTTTTACTGATAAAATAAAATTTATATGCTCCCTTGAATACACTATATTTTCAGTAAGAAACAATAATAAATGAGCAAATTACGGATGTGACCGTTCGGCAGGGGATGCTCACTCCTTTATGGCACCTGGTCCCACCTCTGATGTTTTAGGGGGTATTGTACCTGTTTGCTATGCCTTAGATACGTATTGCTTCAAAATACTGGATTTTTGAGTTTGTTTACTGTTCATTATTTCTTTACTTTATACATGGGTAAACAACCGTAAATTATTAATCTTGAGTGTCGATCTTTTTAAGGTACCATTTCAAAACATTTATATGGATACTGATTGATGATCAGACCATATCCAATATAAAGTTTGAAAGATGAATTTTTATTACGTTTACACGGTTTAACATTTAATAATGTAACAATGTATGACAATTTTTAAAATAATTAATGGGCTTTAATCCAAATAAAGAAATAAATTAAGTTTAAAAATATTAATCTGATAACCTTTTCTGAATATTTTGGGTTTTACATTCTATAAATAATATCTTCCCCAGATTTAAAAAGAAATTTGCTGTACCTGAACGAACCTAATTGTTTGTATTCATATTTTTTGTAATTTGTAATTCTATGATTCATCATTGAGTTTTCTATCCGCATAATAATCTGAAATGAAATTTATTTTAACATATTAACTATGATCAAATAGAAACTTTCAGTAATAAATAATATAAGATCATCCCTTAATTATATTTTCTTAATTAATTCAACACTTCGATTAAACATTAACCAACTTAAAAACAATATAAAAAGGTAATTTTATAAAAACAAACTGGTTGTGATTAAGGTAGGATTCTTCTCATATTTCTAATATTTAAAAATTAATGAAATTTTCACAGAATCAAGAAGACAACATCAGTAAGTGATAGTATCAGTGAAATTAAATTTGACCGTTTTATATTAGAGGCAAGGTCAGGTCAAGGTCATTATCTTTTTCCTTGACATTAAGAATAAAAATAAATGTTGCCAATCATGTGATACAACTTCTATTTCAAAAGTTTAATGCTTTTTTTCTTTTTGCATAAAAACATATTACTATATCAGGTCTATAGCATGATATTACCAAATTTACATAAATAATTTAACTTAACTGGATAGTGGCTAATCCGAATTTTCTCTGTTTTTCTTAATTTTTTAGGATGTATTAGTTATTTTCATATGCCTCCTATATTTAACTTTTTCTTATATCCACATATAATAAAGTAGTCTTATAAATGTACAAAATGACACAAAAACAAAAAGTTTGGATCGTTTACTAAGAAAGAAAAATACTTTTTATGGATTTTTGGCTCAAATCTGCACTTTGATAGGAAGCGTTTAAAAGCTAACAAAGTTCTAGTTTGTTTGAAATATCATATTTATTTAATATATTTTGAAAGTTTAGTCCCTCATTATTAATTTAACTTACATTTGAAAATTTCTCCAAGTCTTTGATTGTGTAAAAATTGTACCTAAATTCATTGTTCTATTATAATTTTGAGAGGCAGAAAAGAAGATATTTTCATACGCCACCATTCCTCCAAAAATATAGTCCCTGCTAGTTTTCAGACGCAGTTTACCATTTCTATTTAAAGTTGTACAATTGTGATGAGGAAAGAAAAATATGGTCTTTTAAATTCCTTACACCGCAATACATAAGACATATAAGCAAATATACTTTGAATGTTTCATCTAGTCAGAAACCAGAGAAGACTCCTACCTTGATTTAATAAATGTAAATTATGTTGCACATGTGTGATAATAATAAAAGGATAATTGCGTTCAAATACACGACCCGCAGCATAGAAACATCAGATGATCGTTCATTTTTCACAGTTCATATAGGTCATATTTGTTTACATGTATGTGAAGTGGTGCGGTTTATAGTCAGAAAGAAATTAAACATAATATGACAGCTGGCAAGGGAAAATATAGAGCAGCATTCTAAAAACTATCTGTAATTTTACACGAATTCTAGCACTGATACAAGCACAAGGTAATTTTGGACATTTAAGACTTAAGTATAACAAAGTCCAAAAACCAAAAACTAGTTAGTCATTTACCTGTATAATCCACGTTGACTCTTTGGAGTTTAATGCCCTGACAAATGACCCAGTTAACACCTCTCTGTAAGAAAGAGGTCGATCGATTATCATGGTTAATGAACTATATATTTACATTTATAAGTCTCTCTTAACATAGATTTACTAGATAACAATGTTTGTTTACTAGGAGAAAGAATGTCAGGGCACTCTACCTATAACAAATGTTTAATCCTTCATTACACATGATTTTAAAAAATGAATTGAAATATATTATATATAATCCATTACACTTATTGTCAATGTTTATTTGTCATGTGTGTATTACAACAAATAATTCTAACACAAAACTCACCAGGTTTGAATGTGTCTTCCCGGATAATACACAGAAAGGTTGATAAAGCCTTCTAACACCACACACCATCCACCGAAACATTGTTTACGTGTGTTCGTCTACTATCTCCCAAAGCATTGATATTTTTAAGCACGGCTTACTGTGACGTCACAATCCAAGCAAGAAACCGTGGGGATATTCATCGATTATTTTAGAGCAATGATGGGTAAACTTTACTAAAATATCCTTGTTGGTTTAATTTTTATTTCTAAAGAAAACTTGCTTATTTATCTTTACCCCCCAAAAAAATTATTTTATTAATGAAAACAAGATTCTAAATTACACATTTAAATTACACCTATCACCTATTCAAAAGATATTTTCAATCAATGAAATAAAGCATTTTTATAAAAAAAATTATAGTTTTTTTTTCATAATTTTGCTGCTGATAATCATAAACGTCTCCTTTACTAAAACTAAATAACAGCAAAGTATATTGATAATATCGTTATGAAACAGAATTAATGCTCCTGTAATAAATAATTATTGATTAATAGCATTCCTTACAGTCAGAAACATATTTTACATAAAAGTTTTACAGAACAGATTACATCTGTTTTGCATGAAATGCGACGGTATCTTTTTCACTATGTTATAATAAGTTGGTTTGTATATATATGTTCTTGATACTCATACATAAAAATGACATACTAGTAAATAAAAACAGTTCTGTTCTGTATAATGTTTCTGGAAAAGATTACATATTTCAAAAATATTATGTTCAACATGCACATCTTGAACTGTTTAGTGTTTGTATTTATTTTTTATGTTTTCTCTCTAGAATATCTTGTCAATAACACCTCTCATACGTGTTGATCATAAACCTGTCATTAATGATTGTTATCGGACACAATCTGAAATTACACTGTTTCCCTGTATTATATGCAACCCATTCCTCAGCCAGCAACGAACAAGAATGTGTTGTTTTTCCCGTCCTCTGGCCGATACCTGGTTTAACCTTGATGTTTTTTTTTGTTTTGTTTTTTCACAGTCAGCGCCATTTCTTTGCCATGGAGTATAGTTTTCGCCATTCTGAATCTTTTAGATGTGCCTAGCATTCCTCATTTTCTAACAATCGAAAGGTGTAAACATGCACATGCAGTGCGGGAATATGGAGATAACGAACAGTAGTCAATCTCAGAAGTCCGTTTAAATTATACAAATTAGAAGAAGAAGGAACACTCAGGATCCAAATATATACAAGAATGGATAAGGCTACTTGTAGGACTTTAATTGAGATTGAATATTCTAGTCCCCTGCCGACCATTCTTCATCCTCGCAAGCCTTGGGTAATGAGTCAATACATTGCCTTCTAAGGGCAACGTGTTGACCCAGGATCTCTGGCTTGCAAGGATGACTTTCTTTCGCATAATCACCAGTGTAAGATTGACTTGTCCGGTGTGAGACAGCAGTGTGAGATTTTTCTGTCTCACACTGTGTATTACTACGCCGTGAACGATAACGATAACATTCCGTCTTTATATAAAGAAATTGTAATAATGTTAAAAAATATTACATATACTTAAAATGCGGTCATTTAATGTATTAATATAAACTTATTTAATGTATTAATATAAACTTAGTTTCATGTGGGAATAGTGAAATTCCACCAAAAGGACAAGATTCACGGTCTAGGACTCGGCAAAGCCTCGTCCTAGACCGTGAATCTTGTCCTTTTGGTGGAATTTCACTATCCTACACTCGTAGTAATGAATGATTCTATTATTCTTACTCGTTGTGTTTACCTTGTCATGATCGGTAAAACGTTAAAAAATATCTGTAGACATTGTATTTGCTGAAAACGTCGTACGTTTTACTAATTAGAAAACTTTTTTCACGATTTCAATTTTCAAGCAATGTATAATAGTGGGTTCAAATTCAATATGCACACGATCACTGTCCAATTTCATTCAAAATAGTTTGTGGGAATTTGGTGTAATAAATAAATAATATACACCTATTTACTGGCTATGAGGACAATAGCAAGTTTATCGTTCCCCAAGACAGCAAACTATTTCCCGAGGCGCAGCCGAGGGAAATAGTTTGCTGTCGAGGGGGACGATAAACTTGCTATTGTCCGAATAGTCAGTAAATAGGTGTTTTATTATACCGATGCTGACTTAACTTTTGTTAAATTTTGGGAGTCCAGGGTACACACAATTATGATATTCCATATTATACCGGTGCTGACTTAACTTTTGTTACGTCATAATATATACGCGTCACAATCCATGTAAAATCAGAAGTTTTTCAGAGATGAAAAGCGAGGGAAATCGAATGCTGCCGTTGAATAGTTTGAGGACTATTCACCATGGGCAAATAGCACAAAAACTATTTCACGGTAGAGACTGTTTAGAAAAAATAGCATGTCTATTCGTCTTATTTTTATATAGAAAAAAATAAACAGAGGTATAATAACACTTTTTATTATACCTCTGTGAATTTGTTCAATATAAAAACATGACGAATAAACATGCTATCTTTTTCAAACAGTCCCTACTGTGAAATAGTTTTTGTGCTATTTGCCCATGGTGAAAAAGTCATCAAACTATTCACCGGCAGCATTCTGTTTCCCTCGCTTTTCATCTCGGAAAACTTCTGGATTTATACGGATTGTGACGCGTATATATTATGACGTAACAAAAGTTAAGTCAGCATCGGTATAATATGGAATATCATAATTGTGTGTACCCTGGACTCCCAAAGGTTAACAAAAGTTAAGTCAGCATCGGTATAATAAAACACCTATTTACTGACTATTCGGACAATAGCAAGTTTATCGTCCCCCTCGACAGCAAACTATTTCCCTCGGCTGCGCCTCGGGAAATAGTTTGCTGTCTTGGGGAACGATAAACTTGCTATTGTCCTCATAGCCAGTAAATAGGTGTATAATAAAAAAATTAAATCAATGATAATAAATAATTGACAAATATTGACTTATAGATAACCACCTTTAAATAGCTTATTTTATTGGCTGGTATAAGAAATATTGCAAATAAAAATCGGCATATAATATGCATAGCATTGTAATTTTTCACACAAAAATTAAAATTAATTAAATTAATAAATACTAGTATGTAAAAGATATTTATAATGTATATGATTCACTTTTCTCAATTTTTATACTTTTCTGGTGAATATATTTAAAATCAAGAGCTTCCAAAATTGTAAATTATAAACCGGCTTTAAATATGTGTTGTCGAAAAATGGAGAATGCCGTGACAGAGCCGGCGCAATAGGCCCTACAAGAGCGGTATCCAAATTCGATTTGTTTACCTACAGAAAACACTAAATGGAATGATTGATTGATTGATTGATTGTATATTGATTAAAGTCCCACTCGAGGATTTTTTACTCATATGGAGACGACACCGTAGTCCGGTGAAGGGCATGAAATTGAGACCTATACTTGGCACTCAGAGCCATTGAGCAGTGAGGGTTCTTTATCATGCCAGCGCCTACCGTGACATGAGACCTAGGTTTTTACCGTCATATCCGAAATACTCGTGACTTTCACTTCTAGTGCCGAGCGCTTGGCAAAGAAACAATCACTACTTATGTTTACTTCTTAGGTATGACCCGGTGCAGCGAATGAGAATCGAACTCGGGCCTCCCGATCACGAAGCGAAAAATGAAAAGAAGTGTAATCCTTATAAACCGCTCGTCTTGAAAAAAAATATTTACTTATGCATGTTATGATAAAACATTTAAGGATTTAGAATTTTCTCAGTGGGATTTCGTATATCTAGCAATTATTGATAAAACACAGAATGTGAATTAGATGGAAAAATAGTAGACAACACCCGATCAGCTTATCTTATACCTATGCTGATTTAAGGACATCGCCTCTTTAATCGTCAGAACGGTCCTACAATACGGACAAAGACAACTATCATCATATCTATGAATATTAATTGTATCAATCCACCTCATCATGCATTGCATATGAAATTCATGCTTACACCTTTCTAATTTAATTGTACACAACTTAATACTACTTTCCTCTTCACTATCATTATAATACAAAGTATTGAGACAAATGGCGCATACGGAACGACTTGGACAGTTACGGGACATTATGATGAGCTGTAACCGGGGCATTGCCCAACTTATCGACACTTACCAACAGCATTTATGCACTGTTATCAGTTTATATTTTTATACACTGTTCAAAACATTTTAATCTTAGTTCTGTCTTCTCAAATTATTCTTAAAATAAGGAAATATCAATGAGTTCTTTTTTGACTAGATATCCTGTTCAAATTTTATACATTCTTGTTTACGTTTTTATAGAAAAAATAATTACCAAGAAATGGTAGCGATTATTTATCAATTTGATCAGTGGGATTTCAAATCGAAAGAGGAAGGGATATTTTTATGTAAAAAGAATCTATAAGCTTTTAATATAATATAAAGCGACTTTTTTCTTTCTCGATTTAGGGTTAGGGTAATTAGATTATGTTTGGAACAATGCAGATTTCTTTCAAGAATCAGAGAGAGAGAGAGAGAGGATGTAATAACTTGCAATGAATGGCATACCATTTCCGCCTAAATCCCGTAGTAATACTAATTAACACTGTTATAAAGCTACACAAAAATACCTTATTTCATTATATGATAAAAGAAAACAAATAAGAATTTAAGCTCTAGGTCATCTACAAATATTTTTGAATTTGCAGTGTTCTTTTCAGACAGAGCAATTTTGCCTGATTTTAATTCAAAATATAAAGTGTATTTAAGTGATATACATTAACAAACTGAACAGATTTACTTTTATAGTATAATTATTCTATCTTACCCAACGCTTCAAACTCAAAATTCTGCATAATTGTTTTTATTAACTCTCTAAAGTTGAAAACAAAATTCAGTGAAATGTTTATCTAGGATTTATAAGTTTACTTCACTTGATGTAAAAAGAATATAATAGAGATGAAATATATAGATATATATTCCATAAAACAATACAAAATGGGAGCAGAGCAAACACGGACCTCCATAGCAGGAGAAATGTGATCAGGTGCCATGCATGGAGGAGAGATCATCCTCTGACGGACTACTTCACCAGCTGTGTTCTCATCGTCATATGATCAGGAAATAGTTGGAGAATCTGTCATCAGTGTGTAAACAATAATGAAACAATTAGTATGAAATACGTCAATCAGCGTTTAACTTAATGAATTGTTTTTGCTGAAAAAACCATTATTCTTGTTTCATCTTTTTATTTGTCTACACTTTATCTCGTTTTAGAAATTGTACATACGTAAAGCATTCTCCTGCACATAAAGACAGAAAATGTTTTTTTTTATATTTGAAATAAATATGGCTATCTTTATCTATGTACAATACACATTAAACATACAATGCATTTCTTTAGAGTTTGCATTAAAAATAACAAGTAATACAATACTAAAATAAAAAGCAAAAAACTTAGTGTAATTTTGTAGAATTACGTACTCAAGTTGGACATTAGGATGAGATGCTTCTATAATGTGACGTGACTTATCTAACTTGACGTTAGGTCGAAGTCTTCCCCTGGGTTTCACAACTATCCATTTTCAGAAAACTTGTGTGGCCTTATTGGTAATTTGAAAGTGGTGTAATTTTCCAATATTGTTGCATTATTACTTTTTATCATGATTATGCCTGTTGAATCAACCCTCGTGTATGTGTATTTGTTGACAAGGACATTGTTTATACCAAAGAACTTTCAGAATAATGACCTTAAACGAGACTGTTATATATTCTTGTTTCATCAACATACATCTTTGAATTTTTTATACGAAGACAATGATCTTGCATATGAATCAACTGCATTAAGCCTCGTATGCTTTGATTCTGGTATATTGCTGCATAAGAAAAGAAAGTTGACGATTGAAAAGTCATCACGTTTATCACCAAGCTGTGTTGTTAGCATTAGCATTTTTTCTAGTAAAGTATCTCTGCATAACACAGAACAGTGGTATTTTTAAATTTATGCGTACTGGGATATATCGTGTCGACATATGAATATAAAAAGTATTATTGATTGATAATACTTTTTTCAATCATAAATCTAAATGTCGGCTACAACTATCAATGATGTCAGAGTCACAAAAATGATGTCTGCTTTGTACAGTGATAAAAGCATCTCATTTCGTATCACTGAGTAAGCTAGAAGACTATCCTTACATTGCTCGTTTAAATTCCTCCACAAAACTTGGAAACCTTTCCCTCGGAGAAGGCGTATAAACTGAGGTACAGCATCGCAGTTACGTGTAACGCTGGCTAAAAAAGTCCTTCACTGCTCAAATCCAACATGGGTTATTACAAGGGTTAATTTGAAGCCCCCGATCAATCTCTATCCAGAGTTATCGTTCCCGCTACGCTCCCACTTACACTGTTGTAGCGAAAGCGTATACGCCCTCTGGTGAGAGATTGGCCCCCGATTAGCATAGTAGCGTCTCAAAATGTGTGAACAATTCTAGTTTTTTTGGGGGGGGGATGCAAACATTTTTTGTTTGATCCGAACTTTAAAAAAAATAACACATACGCTGCTCAGACTTGCTTATAATGATCCCCTTAAATAGTTCCCAGTGAAAGTAATCAAAACAATACAGGTATGAGGATTCCGGCCTTTACCTCATGAAATTTTCACCTTAGAACTATATGTGGTATCAAGTAATGTGTTCCCCATTTTAACTCAAAAAACGCAAAGAAATGTTTTCATGATTTTATTTAAAAATTAAAAACCATGAAAGAACAAGTGAAATATTTCATTAAAATGTTTTTACAAAAAAAATCGTCGTGCATAGATTAAAAAATCTAAATTGATATAAATATTCCTCTTTATATCAAATAATTATATTCATAAGTATATGTACATGTAATGCATATCACATTTTTATTGAAATGTTATTGCAATGTCCATTTCACACTCCATAAACGCTATCTAGGATTAAACATTTTGGCAATGTTATCAGACACATGTGCATCATGCATGCTTTCAGCAATGTCCTTTCTAACAAAAATGCCTCGTCCCCTTCCTTTTTTAAGTCCACTGAGATGCCCTGTATATCCTAAGGTTCTTAACGTGCCTTTAGTCTGCATCAAATATTGACTCTCCTGGATGTGGTCGACGAAGATCACTTCCGGTTTAATTGCGGAAATCTCGCGTAGGAATTCTTCGTTCTGGTTCCTTATAGTTGGTGAATATCGGTCTGAGTCGTAATCCTGGAAGGAAAAGTCTACGCTGAGGCAGTCTAGATCCTCTGCTAATGATAAAGATTTATTTACCATTATACGACTTGATAAAAGGACAACTTTGAAAATTTGTGCTTTAAACGTAAGGATGTGTTTTCATAAAAATAACCTATCAGATTCTAAAACCCACCAGTTTTGTACAAAAAAAAAATCTTTAAAATATATATACCGAAACAAGAATATCAATCTTCTCGTTTAAAGTCTTCATTTTGTAAGTTATATGGTCGATGCAATCACAATGTCAGCGATTACAATTTATCATTGGGTTAATTAAATGCTGACTGACATTTTTCATACTTTTTGTTAAGCCATTATTTACATATTGAATATTGGAAGAATTTCCCCCTCTGAATATGACAAGGAGCACACGACGATTGTAACCCATCGGCAGGGGAATGCTCGCTCCTCCAGGGCACCTGATTCCAATTTTCATGTTTTGGAGGTATATGTTTTCTACGGTCCTATTTTCTCATGTCAAATTGACTTTTGAGTTTAAATATTGATCGTTATCTCCACTTATTCTATACACCTTGAATGATTAATTTTAAAAATATACTTGCTTGCTAGTTTCTTTAAGTATTATAATTTAAAATCTTATCATATTGGAAAAAATTATAATAGATTATGTTCATTGTCAAAAATTTAATGAATTTAAATAAATGCACCAACTATGAAATTTTCAATGAACAATTTACATTTTTATATCATAATATACTAATAGGTTTTCAGACATTCAAAAAAAAAATATTGTTACTTATGTATATAAAGAACAATTTTAATTTAGAATAGATTCTTTATAAATTGAAATGTAAATACCATGTGAAAGAGCAAATCAAAAATTACTTCCAAATGAATTTCTTGCAACTTAGCATTGCAATAAACTTCGCTTAAATGAATTTGTTAAAAATGTTTTTTTTAAAGAATGTGTAGATTGTCCTTATATAGGATGCAAATTTAAACAATTTACACTTTAAATATTCGAGAACTTCTTAATGATTTGGGAATATGCAAAAATATAAAAATAACAAGAGGCCCATGGGCCTTATAGGTCACCTGAGCATTATGCATCAACTTTCCAGTGATTGAATTTGATTCATGTTTTAAACCAGATGCTATGGCATTCACAATTTTGAAAGAGGCACCATTGATCATCATAACAATACATGTACACTTAGCAGTTGCTTAGTTTGTTTACTGAATACCCATATGAAGGGTAAGGGAACAAAAAATGCATTTTAACTAATCAATAATATTCAGCAATAATCAGTGGTGCCCCTACCACACATGAACCCCTGACCCTTAGGCCTTGATATTTGATTAATACCAAGGAGCAGATTTCAAACCATTCATTCATTTTCAGTATATAAGTACAGCCCCCCCCCTTCTATGGTACCCCTGACCCTGGGGCCTTGAAATTCACAATTCTGGAAGATATGGGCCCTTGTCCAGCATAACTATACAGGTAGTTCATCTGCTTAATACCCTGGAGCAGAGAAGAAAATTTTCAAAGATTCAATGTATTTTCACTATATAATCAATAGAGCCCCGCCCTAACACTAGAACCCCTGACCCTGGGGCTATAAAATTCACAATTTTGGAAGAGGCATTCTTGCTCATTATAACTACTGTAGAAGCACAAATTTTCGTGGGGATAAAATTTCGTTGTTTTGTCATCTAGAATACTTTCGTGTGGATTTAATTTCGTTGTTTTGAAAGTAACCCTATTCAATATATAGTCATATAAAATTTCGTGTGGGATTTAATTTCGTTGATAATTGTTAACAACGAAATAAACGAAATTTAATCCCCCACGAATATTTGTGCTTTTACAGTATGTACTTAGTTAGTTCATTTAATTCCTAGGAGCAGAGAAGAAGATTTTCAAAGAATTCTTGTATTTTCACTATATAATCAATACGTCCCACCCTAACACCAGAACCCCTGACCCTGGGACCATAAAATTCATTATTTTGGCAGAGGCACCCTTGCTCATCATAACTATGCACTTACTTAGTTTATTTAATACCCAGGAGCAGAAAAGATGATTTTCAAAGAATTCATGTATTTTCACTATATAATCAATAGAGCCCCACCCTAACACCAGAACCCCTGACCCTGGGGCCATGAAATTCACAATTTTGGTAGAGGCACTCTTGCTCGTCATAACTATGCACTTAGATAGTTTATTTAATACCCAGGAGCAGAAAAGAAGATTTTCAAAGAATTCATGTATTTTCACTATATAATCAATAGAGCCCCACCCTAACACCAGAATCCCTGACCCTGGGGTCATAAAATTCACAATTTTGGTAGAGGCACTCTTGCTCATCATAACTATGCACTTAGTTAGTTTATTTGATAACCAGGAGCAGAAAAGATTTTCAAAGAATTCATGTATTTTCACTATATAATCTATAGAGCCCCGCCCTAACACTAGAACCCCTGACCCTGGGGCCATAAAATTCACAATTTTGGTAGTGGCACTCTTGCTCGTCATAACTATGTGCTTAGTTGATTTATTTAATACCCAGGAGCAGAGAAGAAGATTTTCAAGGAAATAATGCATTTTCACTACCTACTTATTTAGCCCCGCCCTAGCACTAGAACCCCTGACCCCAGGGCCATGAATTTCACAATTTTGGTAGAGGACTCATTGCGGATTACAATCATGCAAACAGTTTGACTGCTTGATGTCCAGGAGTAAAGAAGAAGATTTTTAAAGATTGCATTAATTTTAGTGGTTTTGGCCCCACCCCTCAGGCCCCAGGGGGGCAGGGATCAAGAAATTCATAATTTTTGTTCCCCTTCACCCATAGATGCTTTAGGCCAAATTTGGTTGAAATTGGTTCAGTGGTTGCAGAGAAGAAGCTGAAAATGTTCAAATGTTAACGCACGACGCACGACGATGGACGAAAACAGATAGCAATAGGTCACCTGAGTTTACTCAGGTGACCTAAAAATTAATGCATACTAATTCAAGTTTAACATGTACAGTGGTTTTCAGACTTATTATATGTGTTCTATTCTCATTTTAAACAAGTGAATATTTTCCTACCTGATGAACGATCAATTATCATGAACTACTCGGCAAGGTTACCTACCTGGGAGCATAAATTCTTTGGAAACACTGGAACCTTTGTTTCTGCAGTTTGAACAGGACGAAAATAAAACCTGAAAAAGTAATACTTTGACGTGTGAAGAAATAAGACTAATGCTGACTAAAACTGAAGATTAATAAAAACACATGAAAATGTTCCAAACAAGAGAAATATTGGATATTGGTGGGAACTTGAGTTGGAATATTTGACATCCTAAAAATGATTGCAGATTTTTGAGAAACCTTTTTTTCCAAAAAAAAAAAATGAATAAATTAAATATAAAGACTTAGGCAAGTAATTAACAATAAAGCCATTTTTAGTAGTTTCAACCCAAAAACTGGGGTTTTTTTTAATACTGTAGAATTTTTCGAATTTTTAAAACAAAATCAAGCAGGTTTTGCAGATTTTTTGCAGTTCCTTTGTATAATATCTTTGTCGTTTAGTTTGTCGCATGTTACATTTACAGCCCGCCTGCTAATTCGTCAATTTTATTATCTCCACGGTAAAAATGATAATATCCACCGGTATACCAATCTATTAATGGCAGTTTTTACATTGTCAATTCATATGTTCTAAAATTTATATCATATATAATAGTTACCTTCGACGAATTCGTGAAATGGTGTACTTTACTGAGTGATAATTCCCGCATTAGATAATTCCCAATACATTTTAAGCTTTGCATGATGATCTGATCACTAACCCAAACAATACTGACCTATTTCCTTCTTCCTTCATTCTTTTAACGCAAGCGTGAAAACATGCACAGCCTGTTTGTTTACAAACAATCCTGTGATCTGCGTCGTGGAATAAAATTAAAACAGTGCGTCGCAGAAAACGCTGAAACGATCTAGACTTTTCTTTATTATTTATATCTGAGGCACCAAAAGGATTCCTTTTTATTTTGTTATGAAAAATTTGATGGTCCTTTTTAATTGGCTTTCATTAAATGCAGTTTTATTATTTTTTTACATGAAAAAAATGTAAAGTTTATATTTATATAGATATATATAGAACTAAATACCTTCATATAATTTTCTTGAAAATATATCATGCTCATTGTCTTACTAGCTCACGATCAATATATATTAATATTAATGGGAATAACATATTTAGATAGTTTGTTTACATTAGAATATAAAGTAAAGCAAAATAAAAATTAAAAAAAACATTAAGATAAAAATTCATGTCATTTAATTCCTTTAGATTTGCTGTCATTTCGGTTCACTGGCTGTTTACGAGAAACTGTAGATCGTAGAATAGATCGAGAGATGCATATAATTATGATAGTCGAGTAAATATTCTTTTGGCTAAGTGGTCAATATGGCTCCTTTCTGTAATTAGAAAGGAACGGTAACATACAGGGAGGAAAAAGAAGATCAAATGTTTCTAATTATTTTGAAACGAAATCGTATTAATTAACCTATTTATTATTAAATCAATTTCATAATAAATAAAAAAAAATCAATTTTATTTTCACATTCATCAAATAGGTCAGCTCACATCTTTTGAATTGTTTTTATATTTAGAAGATAGGCCCTATACAAAAGAAAATCATCGATGTGAAACTAACAACTAATCGTCATGATAACTGTCCTGATTTAATTATTTATACCGAATGCTTCTTGTATCTATACAAGAATATATAGTTGCTCTTAATTTCTCATGTATAGTGAAATTTTGGTCAGAATAGTTTGTTATAGGCCTATATAGCATTTTTATTTTTAAAAGACAAAATTTTACAATAATACATACATGTACATAGAAGAACAAAAACAATTGTTTTATGAATAAGGAAATAATATCAATTATTAATAATGGTGAAAATAAATACAGTGTTGATATTATAAAAAATATAATAATTTCAGATAAGAAATATAATAATTCCAGGGGAAATGGGCGAGTTTCCACAAAATTCAGTGCGTCAATACAGATTAATCTAGCAATATTTATGAAGACTTTCAGTGATATTTCAATTAAATTCATATGTTCTAGATTACATATTTGCTGACAAAGTCATTGTATCGACATTGATCGAATTACCGAATATTGAGTTTAAAGTAACACAATGAGTAAAATCACATGTTTCTTTTAAGAAAAACTTTTTGAAAAGATTGTATCAAAGTTGTTGGTCTACTTATATTCATCCCTGGGTACTTGAGACCATGGGAACTATCGTAATATAGGGAGGAAGAAATTAATGCAATATTTTCGTTATGGGGCATACTGAAAATATTTTTACTTTTATTTTTATCCATAAAAATAGTTTTTTTAGGTTCTGAAACCTGTAATCTTCTGAAACTTGAATACTGTTCGTTATCATCATATGTTTCACCTAATACTTTTAGCAACTGGAAAAAATTTTACTCGGATCATGCAAAAATTCTACGTTTGTCATTTTTTACTCTGTGCGTCACGGTGTCTCTTTAAAATATAGTTTGGTTGGCACAGTGGTTACAGTGTTTATTACAGAGTCACGAAATATTGAATTGATACTTGCGTTGCGGGGTCAAATTCCACTTCCGCACATGGAGACTGGGCCTTCAGGTGCAACCGCATAAACCGAGGACCTATGTGTCGGTAGGTTCCCGCACGAAAAGGTTCACTAACACTGCTTAACATCTTTCGGTGATGAGTACAGATCCACATTAGCAGCCCTCTTTAGGCATAAGGCAACGTCTCAATATGACTGAAAATGTCTCAAATGGTCGTTTATCAACAATTATCAAACGATACTATTGATATCCTTGTTTCCTCAAATTTTTCATCAATAAATTACCTCGTTTTAGAAATTCCTTGTTTGTATATTGATTGACTGTATGTAGATCAACGTCCCTATCGAGAATTTTCACTCATATGGAGACGCCACCATGTGCCGATGGAGAGCTGCATTTTTTCTTCTAGACTCGGCACTTACGATCATTTAGCAGTGAGGGGTCATTTTCGTGCATGCCAGCACCTACTGCGACACGGGGCCTCGGTTTAAACAGTCTCATCCGAAGGACCGGTCTTCAAATCCCACAGTGTGATTCAAACCCGCGACGTAAGGATCAACCCGTTACTTGGCCAATCAATAGAGCAGACGCTCTTACCACTGTGCCAGGGGGCGACGTTCGTTTACAGAGAATGCTCTTGAGTCTTCAAACAACTGGGAGATGTAAATTCCAGCATACGATTGGTATGTATGAGAAGTCGGACCAATAAAAAGTTAAAAACTAAGCGGTGAAACGTATTCATTTTAATCATGAAAACATGACATAAGTTGTTATTTTCAAAATTTTGAACAAAAGTTTGTTTCATATGTCCTTAATTTCATCATGAGAGGTTTTGATTTTCTTAATTTTATTTATTTTTATTTTGTGATTTTTTTTTATTCCTAAAGATTTTTTATGCATGCAGTATATGTTTTACGTATTCATGTCCAATTTACTGTAAAGACCTCCTAAAGAAGTTCCTCCTTCACTGCTGTGAATGTCAGTTTTGAATATTTTTAATATTCTACACAACCAAAATGAATTACCATATCTACACTGAATTTCGAAACTTCATAAAATACTTACAAAAAAAAAGAAACATAGCGGGTCCCAGTAAATGTTCAACCAAGCCTCTTTCTTTACTCCTCATTAAGATATTGACAGCAGTGAAGTCGAAACTTCTAGAGAACTGTGCAAAAATATTCGAGAAGTAGTGTAAATTTGATACTTAAAAATTCCAAGGAAATTTTTGAAATTTTTGATAATTTAAAATCACAAGATTTTACCAAAATCAACAGCTTAGAAACTAACGACTTTTCAACTTAATACACAACCATTTCCCAAAATAAATTAAAGTCCAGGCTTTTTGAAAAAAATTGACATCTGCTTTTCCAATAAAATTGAACTCGTAAATTTACTAACCTTGTCATTGGTCATTTGTAAAATTATTCAGCTAAAAACATTTCGATTGTACACACAAGTACTGTAAAAATCAAAGTACTGAAAGTACTGAAAAGCGGTTAGCATGCTTTCATGGAATTTGACTGTACAGTGTAGAATAACAAAAAATGCATTCAGTGATGATATTAAAGTAAGCATGCATATCTTTGTCCAATGTCATCAGCGAAGAAGCAGACACACTGACTTTTGTAGTACTTAACTAAATGGAAAAACCAATAACATCCCAAACTGAAGTCACAAATGTATGTTTCAAAATAATATGTTCTACGGTGCGACCGTTGGGGCGAGCGCAGTTACCTTTACACAGCTTTATTTTATTTCTAAAGGAATCGGGGTCGAGATTCCGAACTTTTCGGAAGTTTCCGACAAAATCGGAAATACCTGAGCCGTTTAAGTGACGAAAGTATGACGTCAAATAAAAAGTGCTGTTGAGTTAGAATGCAAACGATAGTTTTGTGCATAGAAATTGCATTAAATCGTTGTTTGTAATTTTTTTCAAGTAAGTTGTTGCTATGTTTTAGCCACCATGTTGCTATGCACCGCAAAGGACTATTGGGATTGAAGAATGTTTTCACGTGGACTCATAAAAATTTCTTGGATCAATGTGCAGATTTCAACCCGAATTTCCTCCGTTCGTACACGTTAGTCTATTGAGCTCGCTACGCGAGCGGCGCTTCGCGCCGCCTCGCTGCGCTCGCTATCAACCTGAGATTTTCAGTTTGAAAGACAGGAAGTTCAATTTCAAAAATTTCTTCCCAATTGTCTCCATTGGTGGCGTCCAAATGTGCTCAGAACGAAAAAAAATGTTGATGTTGCAAATTTAATTGTCTTTTATGCTATATTGACTCTGAAATTAGGTAACTGTAAAGCCTACTCAAAAAGAAAATAAAACAAGTAGAGCTTTTCAAAAAAGCTTACCGTCTTTAGCAACAATTTTAAATAGTAAACTGACCCATACTTCTTTTGAATTTCTTGATATTGTATTTCTAAATAAGCTTTTTACGGGCATTAGCCCTACCACGGTTGTCGCTCGGTCATCTCCGTAAACGTTGACTGGCCGAGAGCTTTCGGCAAACCTCGGCTGATTCCCATTCACTCTTCAAACAAGAAAGGGGAAAAGAATAATAACAAATTGTAAAGCCTGCAAGCAATAACTATCAAATTTTAATTTTAATGAAATTTAAGAGACCTTTTTATTTATCGCTATAAAACACTTTTATCACTATAAAACAGTGAAAACGCTATGTTATTAAGAATTTTGTTGTTCGTTTTGTCATTTTTTTAAGATTGGAATTGTATGATGAAAAATATATCATCAGAAAGCTATCTCCCTTGCCTTGAACAGCGTTTCAACCAATGAAATAATTGAAAATTTTCTCATCATGCAATTTCTATCAATCACAAAAGAGAGGAAGTGCATAGTCCGACGACTGTAAAAAAAACTTCAACTATACAATCCGTCTTCCAAGGAAGACGGTAATGATAATTCAAATTCTTAAGATTAATTTATTTGGAGTTCTGTACATAGATCTTTATAGCTGGCTAGTCTGAGAAAAACGGATGGACGAGCAGAGAATTTGTAAATAAATTTAATTTCAGAGGGCTTCAATTTCGTAGTCTCACTGCGGGTCAGCAGGTGTGACCTGTTATTGGGGATGCTTACTTCTCCTAGGCACCGGAACTTTCAAGGATCCGTTTTTCATTTGAGACCGATCACTATTCATTCTGTATTTTGATACAGATACTGAGTACATCTGTTTATTAATATTATGAACTATTTCTCTCACAGGAAGAAAGACAAGTAAACAAGATAATAA